GGTCTCACAAAAGTTGTGAACAAGTTTTTTAGTATTTCACCATCCATGTATTTAAAAGCAATTCTGATATTGGAATGCATAACATAGGCTTTTCACACAATGTTCTTTATGTGGTACAGAGGTGATAGTTTTCTTTCTAGATTCACCCCAAGATCTCTTGCTTTTCTGATTTTTTTTTTAAACTTTTCACATAATTTGTAGGGTGTGTGTTGTCTATTTTCTCCTATTCCACATTGCATCACACGGCATTAATTCACATTAAATTTCATTTGCCAAGTGGTGCTTCCTACACTTATTTTGTCCAGGTCTTCGTAAAGGGCATGACAATTATTTAAATGTCTCATCTTTCCTAGTATCTTAGAATCCTCAGCACCAATATGTTGTTCATGCATACATACATGTTCATATAATTCTGTATTCCTTCTGGTAGATAGTTTATGTTGATAACGAACATTACTTGTGCAAAAACTGAACCCTGTGGTACTCCACTAGTGACATTTCTCAAGTCTGATGCCTCTGATTTCTCTTCCCCCCCCCCCCCCTCATTTTTCTGTCAAAAATATGTTCATCCATGTTAGAAACCTCCTTGTATATTTCAGTTTCCAGAACAACCTCTTATGTGGGACTCTGTCGAAAGCCATTTCTGTGGGGAGCCCCATCTGCTCTCTGAGGCTATCATCACTGATTAAGTGCCAGATTACCTAGTGTCTTCAGTTGCGAAGACCTTTTGCTTACCGGGGACCACGAGCCAGGACCTGGTCTCCTCAGAGAGTTGCAGAAAATGATGAACTATGATCACTTTACATTTTAAGGTTATCTTTGCCATCACCAGGGAAGGCACCCAGAAAGATAGGTGAATCAAAACAAACCACTGCCTGGTTTAAAAATGAGACTGGAGCCACCAAAATGTCAAAAGAACTTACTCCAAGAAGAAAAACAACCAAAACTAGTGAAACTAGCTGCACCTTCGCCCCTTGCTGGGGGGTAGGGGGAAGCCGGCCCAACCAGTTTCTTCTTTACTGATGTACCTGGTCTTTGGACTGGTTCTTTCTTTGTTTTTTCTGCTTGGTTTACTGTGGCCCCTTTGGTCTGGGATTGTTTTTGGAAGGCTTTATTTGTTATTGCCTTGGCCTCTAGTTGTTGGCCTCTCGTGCTCGTAATGTTCACAAGTACACTCCCTTGTCGGCTGTTTTTGATAATATGTCTTGGGGCAATATTTGGATACGCGGGGTTTTGGAGGTTTAACAGGCTTTTGGCCGCCAGGTATCTTGTGAACGTTCCTAGCCCTCTGCGGCCTTGTGTTGCATTGGGGCTTCTGTCGTGGCCTTCGGTATTGACTTCGAGTTGATACCTGACGTGCTCCTGCCTCCCTGATAAGGTCCCAATTTTGACTTTCTCTGTGGGTAGTTAGCTTCAGGGATCTGACAGGGCTTCGCAAAGGAAACCAGCATTGAATGTAATGAAATTACACTCCCAGTCTTACCACTACACCAGTCTCTGTGGTGTAGTGGTAAGACACTCGGCTGGCGTTCTGCGAGTGCTTTGTCATGGGTTTGTATCCTGGCCGGGGAGGATTTACTGGGCGCAAATCCTTAACTGTAGCCTCTGTTTAACTGAACAGTAAAATGTGTACTTGGGTGTAAAAACGATTCTTCGCGGCGGGGATTGTTTTCCAGGGACTTGCCCGAAACGCTACGCGTACTATTGGCTGTACAAGAATGTAACAACTCTTGTATATATCTCAAAAAAAAAAAAAAAAAATGTCAGTTTTTGGGTGAGCCCCAGAGGCTTTCTGACACCCTCCCATTTCCTCGTCAGTGGTGTGTTTCTCATTAAAGAACTGAAGCCAGTCTTCCTGGGGTCAGCTCTTCCCCTCTCCCCAATGAAGGGGGAGGTGGAGCTAATTAGTGGGGGGCGAGTCTCACAAAATTTTGGTTTCCTTCTTGGGGGAGTTCTTTTGGTACTGTAATTTGGGGGCTTTGGTTGCAGTTTTGTTTTGATTTGCCTTTTTTTCTAGTTGCCTTCCTTGGTGATGGCAAAAAAAATATCTTTTAAATGTAAAGTAATAATAGGCCATCACTCCCTGCACCTCTCTGAGGGGGGCCAGGTTCTGGCTTGTGGTCTCCAGTAGGGTAACAGAACTCCACAACTGGTAACACTAGATAGTATGGCATTTAATTGGTGATAATAGCTTCAGGGAGCCGACAGGGCTCCCCACAGAAATATTGTTTGTTCACTCTGAGAACTTTGCATAACTCAAATCCCTCTGTACCATGGATGGGAGGTACTGTATATATATATTCCTGGATATATGTATACTGTATATATATATATATATATATATATATATATATAATATGTCGTACCTAGTAGCCAGAACTCACTTCTCAGCCTACTATGCAAGGCCCGATTTGCCTAATAAGCCAAGTTTTCATGAATTAATGTTTTTTCGTCGACCTAACCTACCTAACCTAACCTAAACTAGCTTTTTTTGGCTACCTAACCTAACCTTACCTATATATATAGGTTAGGTTAGGTAGGGTTGGTTAGGTTCGGTCATATATCTACGTTAATTTTAACTCCAATAAAAAAAAATTGACCTCATACATAGTGAAAAGGGTAGCTTTATCATTTCATAAGAAAAAAATTATAGTAAATATATTAATTCAGGAAAACTTGGCTTATTAGGCAAATCGGGCCTTGAATAGTAGGCTGAGAAGTGAGTTCTGGCTACTAGGTACGACATATATATATATATATATATATATATATATATATAATTATATATATATATAATATATATTGTGTGTAAATCACGAAAAATAAGCACGTGATAATATATAAATATATATATATATATATATATATATATATATATATATATATATATATATATATATATATATATATATATATATATATATATATATATGTCGTACCTAGTAGCCAGAACGCACTTCTCAGCCTACTATGCAAGGCCCGATTTGCCTAATAAGCCAAGTTTTCATGAATTAATATATTTTCTCTAATTTTTTTCTTATGATATGATAAAGCTACCCATTTCATAATGTATGAGGTCAATTTTTTTTATTGGAGTTAAAATAACGTAGATATATGACCGAACCTACCCTACCTAACCTAACCTAACCTATCTTTAAAGGTTAGGCTAGGTTAGGTTGCCGAAAAAGTTAGGTTAGGTTAGGTTAGGTAGGTTAGGTAGTCGAAAAACAATAATTCATGAAAACTTGGCTTATTAAGCAAATCGGGCCTTGCATAGTAGGCTGAGAAGTGAGTTCTGGCTACTAGGTACGACATATATATATATATATATATATATATATATATATATATATATATACTGTATATATATTTATATATATATATATATATATATATATATATATATATATATATATATATATATATATATATATATATATATATATATATATATATATTTTATATGTTTATATATTTTCCTGCATGGTTGGAATCAGAAAGTTTGCTGTATTTAATGGTCTATGTGAGATATGAGACTCAATATTATTTTGAGGAGAAGTTTTTGAATGTAGATTACTTAACCTTTTGGTGGTCATTTTGGACTAGATAGGGAAATATTCAGTCAGTTTTATTGGGCAAGAGAATACTTGATGACTGCTCATGCACCTGTTAACATTAAATTATATAAGGTTTTTTCAAGATTTATTTACTGTTTTCCTCTTCATCTCCTGTTGATGGCTTTCAAGCTTATAACAACTTTAGGATGCACACTTTACTTAGTGATGAAACCTGAGCATTTCTTGAACAGTTAAAGCATGTTTGGATAAAATGTGAACACGCTTAAGCTCCTCAAATCTGTATAGAGAACATATGAACATTCTTAAACTTATGGAGCTTTCATTGAAAATATATAAATTATGTGGACAGCTGAAGTTGTCTGCATAAAAGCTGTGAAGATTTCAGTACTGTGGTCGGGTGGTCCACTGACAGTAGAGTGTTTTATATCAAAGTTAGTTATTTATACTATTGTCTCCTTCATCTTGTCTCTAGTCCCTCTTGCAAGATTGCATCTCCCTCATGATACTGTTAGACAAATATAATGCTAAGCTCAAAACAGCCGGAATATAGCACTTCTTGGATTATGAATTTGGAAATAATGTATTAATAATAATAATTATTATTAATTATTATTATTATTATTATTATTATTATTATTATTATTATTATTATTATTATGAGTACTGCAAAAACTTTGTCCTGTTATATCTATAAAAATACAATAACTTAGTTAACAAGACTAATGAAATCTATCAAACAAAAAATAATTTAACAAAGTAATTTGGGTTTTAGCCAATTATTTTATGTTTATAAATTTCCAGAGATGCTATTTGATGGGTTTATTTACTCTCTAATTTACTCTTGATAAATGGTTATGATTTGTATATAGTTGAGAATGTTATAACACTGCACCGAAACCCATTAGTGGAGAGAAGTCAATGTAGTCCACCCAGCCATATATACTCTTGTATATCACAGCTTGTTCTTTATTATATTATTGTCGCTTGTGCTCACTATACTCTGCTTACATCCACCAGCGGAAGTTGTTATTGTCCTAATTAAACCAGACCAAGTATGATTTTCAATTTATATTGTTCAGTATTTAATTATATGAAGTTTTATGATCTTGATCACTAAAAGTTTGGGTCACCAATATTTTCACTGAACTGGATGACTTTTATAGTAATTTTAATTGGCTGAAGAAAAACTCTAGTTTTCCATTATAAAATATTGTTTGCCTTTGCTTTTTTGTCACGTATTCTAACCTACATTTTACAAATAAATTATTTACTAAACAAAATTATTCCAACCATTATTATCAAACTTCATTTTGTTATTGTTTTTACTTTTTTTTAAATTTTGTTAAGCATTTTAAGTTATACTAAGAGTGCTTTTGTTAGGTGGAATAAGTTATGGTTTACCAATGTTTTCTCTCTTTCTAGTATACTGGGCATGAATCTTTTCGGTTGCAAATTCTGCAAAATGAACCCGGACAATTCAACTTCTTGTGACCGCAAGAACTTTGACAGTCTCTTATGGGCCAGCATAACCGTGTTCCAGGTACAGCTTAAGTGTTGAAAGTGTGCTGAGGCTGTGTCTGTCTCCTTGGTCTTGTGGTGAGGATGTGTCTGTGCTCCTTGGCCAGTGTCTTAACAAGATTGTTTGTCAATGCTCTCGACAGCTAATTTAAATTTCATGAAACGGAAAGATCCATGATCTTAATAAGCATTAAAGGATCTGTTTGGCAGAAGCAATTTGTTGTTGACTATACTCACTCCACCAGAGATACTGCTGGAACACTGCATAACAACACATTTACAGTATTTGGGATGCCATCACTTTTTTTTTAATATCTAATGTCCATTATAACTTCCATAGAATTTGTAAACTTAAAATTATTACTAAAATACCTGTCCCTGTTTAAATTTGTAATCCTTTAGATTTCAATGTCCATTTATTTTATTTTCATTACTGGCTTAAGACTAACTGCCAGTATTTCAATACATTCCTCAAACAATCTATTTACCATAGGAATCCTTGCAAAATACTTACGTTGGGCATGTTACAGTCAGTCTATTGTTAAATGCATCGCTGCTTTTTTAATATACTTATTGAATTTAATAGCAATATTTACACAACAGTCAACTACAAATGCACTATTCAGTAAATCTCGAGTTTGCCAGACACATTACTCGTCCGTAGATGTTAGTTATGAGAGGCTGACGATGACCACCATAGTAGCTTCAGGTATTCAGGTAAAAATTAGTTTGTTAAATATGTTGGGCCTCCAGGACACCGACCAGCAATTCATCACACCTGTAAACACTTACACCTAACCTACAGGCCAGCAGGTGTGTATCACCACTGCTTAGCTGCCTTGCTTGAACATAACAATATTTGCACCATGTAATTTATATGGGGGCGCACGCACGAGCATCTTGCTTATATATTGTTGGTGTCTTATACATAGTTTTCTCATCAGTTGCAGTGTTTTTATTGCTCGCATTTACTCTTGGTCTGTGAGTTAGTGTAGCTCTAGAGGTTATAAAAATTTGTTTTAAGGAAAACAAGGACTAAAATGGATTCTGTTTTGGAATACATTCACATACTGTATTTTATATATATATATATATATATATATATATATATATATATATATGTCGTACCTAGTAGCCAGAACACACTTTTTGGCCTAATATGCAAGGCCCGATTTGCCTAATAAGCCAAGTTTTCCTGAATTAATATATTTTCTCTAATGTTTTTTTCTTATGAAATGATAAAGCTACCCATTTCATTATGTATGATGTCAATTTTTTTTATTGGAGTTAAAATTAACGTAGATATATGACCGAACCTAACCAACCCTACCTAACCTAACCTATCTTTATAGGTTAGGTTAGGTTAGGTTGCCGAAAAAGTTAGGTTAGGTTAGGTTAGGTAAGTTAGGTAGTCGAAAAACAATTAATTCATGAAAACTTGGCTTATTAGGCAAATTGGGCCTTGCATAGTAGGCTGAGAAGTGCGTTCTGGCTACTAGGTACGACATATATATATATATATATATATATATATATATATATATATATATATATATATATATATATATATATATATATATATATATATATATATATATATATATATATATATATATGTCGTACCTAGTAGCCAGAACGCACTTCTTAGCCTACTATGCAAGGCCCGATTTGCCTAATAAGCCAAGTTTTCATGAACTAATTGTTTCTCGACGACCTAACCTACCTAACCTAACCTAACTTTTTCGGCTACCTTTTTCGGTTAGGTACGACATATATATATATATATATATATATATATATATATATGTCGTACCTAACCGAAAAAGGTAGCCGAAAAAGTTAGGTTAGGTTAGGTAGGTTAGGTCGTCGAGAAACAATTAGTTCATGAAAACTTGGCTTATTAGGCAAATCGGGCCTTGCATAGTAGGCTAAGAAGTGCGTTCTGGCTACTAGGTACGACATATATATATATATATATATATATATATATATATATATATATATATATATATATATATATATATATATATATATATATATATATATATATATATATATATAATGTATGTCGTACCTAGTAGCCAGAACGTCGTACTCGGTCTACTATGCAAGGCCTGATTTGCCTAATAAGCCAAGTTTTCCTGAATTAATATATTTTCTCTAAGTTTTTTCTTATGAAATGATAAAGCTACCCATTTCATTATGTATGAGGTCAATTTTTTTTTATTGGAGTTAAAATTAATGTAGATATATGACCGAACCTTACCAACCCTACCTAACCTAACCTAACCTATCTTTATAGGTTAGGTTAGGTTAGGTAGCCGAAAAAGTTAGGTTAGGTACGTTAGGTAGTCGAAAAACAATTAATTCATGAAAACTTGGCTTATTAGGCAAATCGGGCCTTGCATAGTAGGCTGAGAAGTGAGTTCTGGCTACTAGGTACGACATATATATATATATATATATATATATATATATATATATATATATATATATATATATATATATATATATATATATATATATATATATATATATATATATATATATATGCATGCAGAATAACCACATGTGAAAAATAGAAAATGCTTAACGCGTTTTCGGCTAATTCGCCTTCATCAGAGCAAAGTAGAATCTAGTTGATTCTACTTTGCTCTGATGAAGGCGAATTAGCCGAAAACGCGTTAAGCATTTTCTATTTTTCACATGTGGTTATTCTGCATATATATATATATATATATATATATATATATATATATATATATATATAATATATAAATAATATATATATACATATATATATATATATATATATATATATATTATATATATATATAATATATATACATATATTATATATATATATAATATATATTGTTGGGGGTTTCACCTCTCTATTATTCTCTACCCTTACTCTGGGGTGAGCAATAGTTATGCTCAAGGTAACTCACCGTAGCCCTGCGGGTCTTCCCTCGATCCTCACGGCGCCACTGCACGCCAGGAGAGTCTCCCAGTCAATCTTAACGGCCTCTTATTAAGAAAGAGTGAGAACACGACTCGATCACATCGACCGTCGTGTGCCCTCCCCAACAATAGGGCTCTACGGTTAATCACAAAGTCGCCAATTGGTGTTTAAGGTGGCCAATAACACCCTCAGTGGACTGGTGTATTCAGTGGTAGCCTTGGCAAGGTCACACTCAAAGATCAGGAATCAGGCAGGTACTTATTGTTATCACTCTATGCTTACAGGTATAGTATAGCCACAAGATCAATGGAGGGGATGATAAAAACACAAAGAGAGTTTTGTATTTTACTTAAAATGTATGAAAGATGTCACAAGGCCAAACAATAACAAATAAATCAACTGATCCTGACGCGGCTGGTAATTCCCACGGATATTATGCGATCATCAGTTGGCAACACTCTCCCCTCCTCATCAAGTGTCAAGAACAGCTGATTGCAATGGCCTCTCCGCGCGAACTTGGCTTGTTTTCTAGATTCACGCGCGCTGTTTCTTTAAAATTCCCAATATTACTAGAAACTCGCACACTCGATATTGGCACAAATAAACCGTATTACTCAGTTACACTGTACTCAGGCTCAAACAGTCTTTTCTACAATCAATGCTATAATGATTCACTGTAACGGTCTTACACTGTTATTTATCCAACAATATATAATGAAATATTAACACGGGAGTTTTCAGTACTTTCTCTCGTGGGCGATAACGCAATAATTCACTGTACTCACAAATGATTATTCACTGAATGAACATAGACATATATATGGTATATAAATCAATCATCAATACATGGAAAATAAATAGTTTCTGGGCACATAGCCTAACCTCCACATACTGGCATAATCATATATATAATTTACCACTATATGTTCGTATCAAAATCTATAGAAAGATATACACAACACAGTAAATTTATCACTGGTTCCTGGTGCCTGTACACACCAATAATCAACATAAATAATACAAGTACTCTTGATAGTACTGTCTAGCACCCTGGTGCTTTACCGGGACATAGGTGAGACTTGCTCACGACATATAAAATCTTCAGGCTAGATAATATAGCCAAATAATATAGCTAACTAAAGGGGAATGGGGAGGGAACTAGAACCACCTACTTCACCCTATCCTCCGATGAGAGTCGAGATGTAGCTCCTGGTCCTCGTGTCGGGAACGCCCCCACACTACACGTCGTCGTGTCCTACCAGAGCCTCTCGTCGTCCCACCGTTTAGCGCGTCGTCTCCGTGCCTCCTCACTGCAGGTCCGTCCTCCTCCTTGACTTCTTGAAAGTTGGAGTCGGTCTCCTGGCCGTCGTCTTCTCCCAGCAACGGCTGTCGCCTACGTCTCAGCTACGGTCGTTCGGTTTCCCCAAATAGTCCTCTCTTCCTCAGCTACCCAGTGGCTCTGTCAGCCACTACGCTGTCACGAACTGGTGAATTGCCACAGACGTCAACATACGTCACTGCACGGCTTCACTGCTACTGGCACAGTACCTGACTGGAGCACTTGTTGCTCAAATAACCGTCAATTCCCTCTTCTGGTTCAACACATGAACTAGGGAAGACTTCTCAGAGTACTGGCGAACTTCCGATGACGCGTAAATCCACGGGAGCGAGGTTCAACTGTCCTACTGACAAGACCATCCGTCACACGTCCGACTTCTATGACGTGTCGTATCTGACTGATGGCGCCAGCCCGGCGCGCTGGCCGGACCCCCTTCCTTCGTGACGTCACTTTTACTATGGGAGGTTTTCATTGGCTCCCGGTGCCACACTGCTGTCGGTGACCAATCCGGTGCCACTGACGTCACACGGTTTTGGCGGGAGATCAGAGAGGTAAGCGCCATCTTGGCTCCCTAAAGGGCCTAAACCACAGGCCAAAATATCACTATTTCACAAATTTCTCGGCTCTCCGAGAACACTTCACTCTCTCCCATATATCAAATTGTAGCCTGCAACGTAGAGAACGCTTGGGAAAAGTAGACATGACTCTTACTGCAGGC